CTCTCTCTCTCTCTCTCTCTCTCTCTCTCTCTGTCCCCCTCTCTCACTTTAAAAAAAAAAAAAGCCTCAGCCTACCAGAGACTGATATATGAAACAACTGCCTAATACAGGGAAAAGAAATAAGGCAGCAATGAATTCTCTGGGATAGGGCAGGAAAGAACTTCAAGAGGTGAGAATGAAGTGGGGCTACGAAGCACACATTTCCAAATCAACAGAATAAGTACGCTGTTCTGCCCTTCCAGCTCACTCTCAGAACCAACCAAGTCCTTGTGGCAACAACTAACTAATCCTTTGCTCTGTAACAGAACTAAAATACCTTATTCCTAACTTTCCCAGCCCCACAGATCCAGATTTCTAGATTAGAAAAATAAATGCTCAGAAGAACAATTGACACACGGTATTTTACTTGATCAGTGAGCTAACAAATTCCATGCACAATCTCTGTCGATCCTCATTGTGAAGTAAATACTCTTTCTTATTAACCTCATTTTACAGATGGGGAAATTAACATTAAGAGATTAAGCAACTTGCCTTAAGTCACAAAGAGTTAAAAAGAGGTGTCAAAACCAAGTACAACTAAACTGTGCAGTTTACCACCAAGGTCCTGGTTCTCAGGAGAAAACAGAAGAAACCTCATTTCATCTTCAAGTGAACTCTTATCAGCAGGGAGAAAAGTTGCTAACATAGAAAAACAACAACTTGGGCTGCTGTGTCTATTAAGCCTGGTTTTGAGTCCCAGATCATCACTAATTGGAACTTCAGAAAGTGCCTCAGGCCCAGAATGCGTTTCATTTGAAAAATGAAAAATTAAAAATGATACCAAACATACCTGGGGACATTATAAGGCCTACCTAGGAAAATAAAAGCAGAGGACCATGAAAGGCCTCATCGAGCACAGAGGGCCATGGTTCAAAACAGAAAGGGGCCTCAATCAACTGATGTCTACTTTTAACCTTGCCCAAGCTTCCCATCAGATTTTGGGAAAAGATACGTAAGCAGAAAAAGCAATACTGAAAAAGAAATGAGTTACCAGCAAAAAGACAGAACAAAAGAGGGGTTTTAGCAGGACCTGGATACCTGCAGATAGTGTAATGAATTCAGTGCTCTCAAAACCCAGATCATTCCCACCAAGTATGGTCTAAAATCTAGCAGGTTATCATTATCACTGGGAATTCGTTAGAAGTGCAGGCTCTCGGGCCCTGCTCCAGACCTTCTGAGTCAGAAACCACATTGGAACAAGTGCCCCAGCTGACAATTCTGGTTAGTAAATATTATATGTGATAATCTTAGCAGCTGGTCTATTCTCATCATTGAATAGCTTCAACTGTACAAGTTGTAGAAAAAAGTCAACAGCAAACTTTTAAAAAATATTAATAAAGCTTAAAAATGCTCTAAGCTTAAACTAATGTCTGTATACCAAACAAAAAAACAACACAGCTATCAATTCAAAACTGTACACCAGTAATTCAATTTCTTAAAACAGATGTCTGTACAAACTTTGGAGGGACTGATACTCCCAAGAAGAAAAAAAAACCCTCAGTTCCCTTAGATGGAGGAGAGACTGTCTGATGTGCCACCAACCTCACAGGGTGTTATTGTTTAGATATTAGGTGTAGCCCCAAAAGCTCATATGTGAGATAATGCAAAAAGATTTAGAGGTGAAATGACTAGGTCATGAGAATCTAAAACCCAGTCAGTGAATCCATCCCCTGCCAGGGATTAACTGGCTGGTTGGTAACTGTAGGCCAGTGGAGTGTGACTGGAGGAGGTGGGTCATTCAGGGGCATACCTTTAGGGTACATATTTTGTCTGATGAGCAGAGCTCTCTCTCTCTGCACTACCTGACGTGATGTAATGAGCCACTTCCCTCCACCACACTCTTCCGCTATGATTTTCTGCCTCACCTTGGGCCCAGAGTAATGGAGCTGGTCATCAACCAACCATGAGCTCCTAAATAAACTTTTCCTCCTCTAAAATTGTTCTTGTCAGGTCTTTTATTTATAGCAGCAAAATAGCTGATTAAAACACAGGATTATATCCAATAGCATATGGATTTAAGCACCTTAAACTGGAAACCTAGATACAAAGATGAGACTATTCTTCTTGAAATCAAATCACCTTAAGATCATACTATCAGCAACATGGAAGTAAAGGAGGCAAAGTGATCTTCTGTGAAAAGTAGAATAGCCTGTTAGCCTCTGGAGTTACTATGAACATCAGCAGTTGGCCCACAACTCAGATATGTGCAGGCAAAAGAAATTAACCCAGGAAGGGGGGAAAAAACAATGGATATTATGTGAGGAAAAAAGCAAACGCAGCTCTCAGGGAGTTCTGCTCACCATGCAGTAAGCAGTGCATCACACTCACCCAGCAGGGCAGCTACTATGCCCACCAGCCCTGTGCCAGCACCCAGCTCCACGGCAGAGCAGTCCCTGAGCTCCACAGCACCCATCTCCAGAAACGTGGAAAGGACAACAGCCTGAGTCAAAACACAGTGCGAGTATGATTAAGGTCAACAAGTGCTTCAGGAGCTGTGGGGTCAGGATGCCTATGTGCTACTGGCAGGAGGAGACTGCATGTGCACCCCTCTCCCCAGCCCCACACTGCCCAGTCCACTAATGTGCACAGGAAATTAGCCACTGCTGCTATGAGGCCACTTCCTACAGAGGCACACACACAGCAGACCCAGCACCCCAACAGGGGGCTGCACAGCTAGCTAGGAGCATGCTGAATCTGTGAAGCTTAATTTTTTTATTGTCACAGCATTTTCACACTGAGACTTAGAAAACCGTTCTAAAGAACTGACATGAACAGTCTTATTTAAGGCATGTCCAATTCCTAAGCCAACCCAGGTCAGCAAGGCCACACTTCACCTAGAAGGAAAAAGCAGCACAGTGCCCAAGGCTCCCTGAACTGCATCCCTGACTCTCATCACCCCACAGGGGCCCTCACCACATGTTTTGGGCATCAGAAGGTAAGTTTTGGCCAGTTTTGGAACTTGTGTAAGTTAGCATTTACTTATAATCCTATAGAAAAAATGGTATAGTGTTAATATAAATTTTTACTAAAGTTTGTTTTTCATAGCCATGTACTAGGAGTAAATTGGCAATTCCTCTCCTCAGTCAGCTTATAGGAGGCATCCTATTTCTTGTTATTATTTATCATTGGTACTAATTATGGGAATAGTTTCATGCAGTTATTCAGAAGTAGATTCCCAGAAGTAGTATTACCAGGTCAGATTAATATTATTATTTCTTAATGTTTCTTTAACAGCCCTAAGACAATGTTAAGACTGTAGAAGGTATTTAGGCCAGTTATTCAACAGGAATAACTAGGGGGCTACACACACACTAGGGGGCTGAGTCACAAGCCACCGTTCTCAAGCAAAGAGAACAGTGTTTAAAGAGGAAGAAGTAGAAAAGCAGTTATTATTTTACAGCTATGGAAAACTTAAAGATGAAACATGATGTTCATTTCGGGCTTTGTCACTTTATGTATTCTTTGGTGCAGTGTTTTAGAAAAAGAACTTAGTGAGCGTCCAAAGCAGTCATGACTTCAGACTTCTGTTACTCACTGGGTAATTACTAGCAAGCCATTTCACTCCCCTCTGTTGTCAGTTAACCGCCATTAAAATGCAATGTAATTGGGGAGGTGGGGGATAAAGGGAATGACTGGTAAGGGGAAGGGGCTTTGGGGTGATGAAAATGTTTTAAAATTAAAGTGGTAATGGTTGCACTACTCTGAATATACTAAAAAAAAATTGAATTTGTGTAGTGAAGTGCATGGTACCTGAATTGTATCTCAATAATGGTATTTTTCTTTTCAAATAACTGAGGATGTTTTCAGAGACCCTCTGGGGCTTGCTTACCGCATCCCAAACAACTGCTGCGACTCCAAGCTGCCTCCAGTCCTGCCGGATTTGGATCGTGTGGTTTGCAAAGGAGAAAGTGGCAAGAGGCTGGTGGAATTTCTGGAGCCCCATTCCCCTGGTCTCCTCATAGGGCACCAGGGCCATTTTGTCTAACCACGCTTCTGCTGAGACCTGTCGTGCAAAAGTATCCTGTGTGACACCCTGGCCAGAAATTGCATTATCTTTTAAGTAACTCCAAATGATTGTTAAGTTTGTTTATAACTTCAAAAGAAGAAGAAATGAGCTGAAGACCGACTAATTCCTTTAGCATGGCTCTTCCTTTCAGTCCTACGGGAGGTAAGATGTGGCTCTGAAATCGTGCCAATGGATATCTTTGAGCAAAAAGTCCTTGAGTATTCCAACACCCACAGGATGCCCTACAGTTCCACTGTTACCACTGCGCATATTCGGAGCTGCGTAACAGTGCACCAAGCATTGGTGACTGCTCAGGGACCCCAAAGTGCCTGCACTGCACTCCACTGCAGCTGCAACCAGCCTCGGGTTTGTTGCTTTTTTGGCTGGGGGGAGGGGGTGGGTGTTATTATTCTGGTCCTCCGGTCTAAACCTCTAGGTTCAATAGTGATAATAATGGAACTGAATGTTAACGCTTTGAACAACAGCCGGATTTATGCGGTGGACACTGTACCGTCTTCTGGAGACTGGAAGGCAACCACACTAGGGGTTCCGAGTCGCTCGCCAGCAGTGCGCGGCTGTGCGGTGGCTCAGAGGCCTCCACTAAGTCCCTTACCTAAACCTGCCCCCGCCCGCCCCGAAAAGGACCGACAGGTGCCCCTTCCGGCCCGTGGGCCGAGAGCTCCGGGAATAAGTCACGGGTGGGAATGGGAGACGAGGGGTGCTCCACAGGGCCCTCTGGGATCCCCCGGCCGCGCGGGAAGCCGGCTGCACCCTGGGGCTCTGGGAGCTTCCGGGTAGAGGCCACAGGAGTCTGAGGCCGCCCCGCAGCGGGGCTCACGGGACACCCAGCCCCGGGGGCGCAGCCACGCGGGTACTTACTCTCTGGAGGGTGCCCGGCGCCGCATGCGCGCTACGTTTTCCCCGCCGGGGTTGGCGGCGGAGAGGACTGGCCTTAAAAAGCCCCACAGTCTAGAGGCGGTCGGAGGCGGGTCCCCGTCCTCCAGACACGCGTTTCCGGCGCTCCTCACCCCCTCCCTTCCCGGGGCAGGTGTTACCACCCCGCTGCGCTGGGAGCCTGGGGGCGGGGCGTGGAGGAGGCGCTGCGGGGCGGGGGCCGAATCCCGGCTTCCTCGCTGAAGTCCCTTTAAGTGTTTGGGTGCCATAATTTAGTTAGCCCAGGAGATCGGGGGTAACCGGGTAGAGAGAAGCAGGAGTGGGGGAGGGAGGGTAGGAAAAGGGGTGGGTGCAAAAGACGGAAGAAGAGGGGCGGGGGAGAATAGGGACGAGGGGGAAAGGAGAGAAGACGAGATGCTGAGCAGTTGGAGGGTGCTGCTCCGAGAGCCTAAGTGATCTGGTGACAGCGAGAGGGAAGCCCTGCTCCGGATCTGCTCTTAGGCTCGCTTGTCCGTTTGGCTCTTTTGGTTTTTTATTTTTAAAGGCGTCCAGTTTAGCGGTGAAAGAGAAAGTTGAAGAAGGCGTCCCGCGTCTCCTAAATGGGGTCCAAAGAGGCGTAACCGCCCAATGGGTGGCAATGAGTGGAAAAGTCTCAGAACACTTTTTGAATATTTTCGTTTTTATTAGCACAGTGTAGCTATACATGTAACAGTGGGGTTCATTTTTGACACTCACAGATGCCTATAATTTGCTCCATTTCAATCCCCAGTACTTTCCTTTTCCCACCCCTCCTCCCTCCACGCGATCCCCTTTCTCTGCTGGTCTTGCCAAGCTCTTCTTAACTAAAGCGCCAACAAGGAGCGGGCACGTGGCACCCAGGTCTGTATTTTAAAATGGGTCGGGTGGGCGTGGCGGCGGAGGCCCTAGGCCCTGATCCAGGCAGTTGGTGCAAATTGTGATCCCTGCTGTTCCTCCTCCGGGAAATCCAGCGGCACCCAGTCCGCAGGCCTCGGGAGAGAGCCGGACCGAAGTGAGCACACGCGAGTGTGACCGCGCGGGGACCAGCATCCTCTTGAAGATTTCCTTTCCCCCCC